GCAGCGGACTTAAGTCCAAAAGAAGGCTATTTATAGCTTAACCAGTCCGTTATCCCCCTATGAGAAGTTTGATATATTTACTCGATTCATAGAAGTGCCCTTCGAATTAGGATTGGTGTGTAAAGTCTTTAGACAAAGGTTCAATTTCTAATAGGTTCACGATTGGATTAGTAGTAGGAAAGGACCATTAAGTGAGGCATAGGGACCTATTTAAGAGTGAAAATCGTTCGCATTCACTCTTCCTTCTATCTGTAAACTCTGTTATCGTAGTAAATTAACGTTATCTATCTGGTCCCTATGAACGTTGTTCGCCGATTATTATGTGCCATGATGGTTTGATTACGTTGTTCCTTGAACGTTCTTTAATCTTCTTATTGGAATAGGAAAACTGACATAAAAAACGCTAATTAGTTCGTGGTTTGCAAAATTTCTTTCATTTTTGCATGGAAATCCATTCGACTTCTTCTGAGCGCACATAGTGCAATTGTCCTTTCGCTTTTTGTACGTGCGTCCTCGAGAGAATCTGTCGCTGTTGCCTTGTGCTGTGTGATATTTTCGGCTGTCCGAAGTACACAGTTCAAGTGCGAAAGTCCATTAGATGTTGGAAATGTTCTACGATTCCAACAAACATTCAACGCGTTTACATTACAGTCATGGCCGACAACGGAGTCAACGAAGAACTCGGCAAAAACAATCAGCCAGTGTACATATCAGCTGTAATATTTTTGCTCAAGGTAGGTCTGCACCAATCGCTGGCAGTTGTCGTTGCATTGTCTTACTCAACTAAATCTGCATTATGGGAAACCAAGTTGGCTGGGTGGGTACAGTTGGGTCACCGCGGGACACATACTTTCATTTGTCGCGTGCCACGCGCCAAAAAATCGTGCCACGCTTTTCGAGGCGCTTTTGGCGTCGGTACCACTGTGGGCGCAGACACGAAGAGCTGAGACCGATGAAGTAGCTCGAATCAATTGCCGCGCAAGTGTGTCACGCTCGAAAAAAGCTGCGTCGCCGCTCCGTGACTTAAAGGGACAGGCCCTCGTAAAGTCTCCTGGGGCTTCCCAGCCAAAAGTAGTGGAAGAAATGAAAGGAAAAAAAACCGCTCCAAACCAGGAAGTAATGGTGTAATTGGGAAGGCGTAACACGATTCGGAACGAATTCTGAACGTTCATACCCCCGAGCTTCAGAATTTACATTTTTTTTCGATCGCCTTCACATTGGAATTACTATTTACCAACTTGGCACTATATGTGCTTGAGAAAAAAAGTTTTGCTCACTCTTTGTGTTTCTCACTTTGTCAAAAGCGTGGCTGACAACTGGTGCTCGGTGCTCTCGTCCCTAAATTTGTTGCAGGCTGTATCAAAAAGTTCTTTCTACCTCACGGTGGAAGAAATACTACTGCCCTTAGCTCGAAAAAAGAGCGAGCGGAATCTCATATTTGATAGGAGACTAAAAT